CTGTGGAGGCTCTGTTATACACCCAGACACATCACTGGGAGTATTATTGCTGTGGAGGCTCTGTTATACACCCAGACACATTACTGGGAGTATTATTGCTGTGGAGCTCAGTTATACACTCAGACACATTACTGGGAGTATTATTGCTGTGGAGCTCTGTTATACACTCAGACACATTACTAGGAGTATTATTGCTGTGGGCTCTGTTATACACTCAGACACATTACTGGGAGTATTATTGCTGTGGAGCTCTGTTATACACTCAGACACATTACTGGGAGTATTATTGCTGTGGAGCTCTGTTATACACTCAGACACATTACTGGGAGTATTATTGCTGTGGAGCTCTGTTATACTCTCAGACACATTACTGGGAGTATTATTGTTGTGGAGCTCTGTTATACACTCAGACACATTACTGGGAGTATTATTGCTGTGGAGCTCTGTTATACTCTCAGACACATTACTGGGAGTATTATTGCTGTGGAGCTCTGTTATACCCTCAGACACATTACTGGGAGTATTATTGCTGTGGAGCTCTGTTATACACTCAGACACATTACTGGGAGTATTATTGCTGTGGAGCTCTGTTATACACTCAGACACATTACTGGAAGTATTATTGCTGTGGAGCTCTGTTATACACTCAGACACATTACTGGGAGTATTATTGCTGTGGAGCTCTGTTATACACTCAGACACATTACTGGGAGTATTATTGCTGTGGAGCTCTGTTATACACTCAGACACATTACTGGGAGTATTATTGCTGTGGAGCTCTGTTATACACCCAGACACATTACTGGTAGTATTATATCTGTGGAGCTCTGTTATACTCAGACACATTACTGGGAGTATTATTGCTGTGGAGCTCTGTTATACACTCAGGCACATTACTGGGAGTATTATTGCTGTGGAGCTCAGTTATACACTCAGACACATTACTGGGAGTATTATTGCTGTGGAGCTCTGTTATACACTCAGACACATTACTGGGAGTATTATTGCTGTGGGGGCTCTGTTACACACTCAGACACATTACTGGGAGTATTATTGCTGTGGAGCTCTGTTATACACTCAGACACATTACTAGGAGTATTATTGCTGTGGAGCTCTGTTATACACCTGCATCACACATTGGGAGTATTATTGCTGGGAGCTCTTGTTATACACTCAGACACATTACTGGGAGTATTATTGCTGTGGAGCTCTGTTATACACTCAGACACACACATTGGGAGTATTATTGCTGTGGGGCTCTGTTATACACCTGCATACATTACTGGGAGTATATGTTGTGGAGCTCTTGTTATACACTCAGACACACATTGGATTATTATTGCTGTGGGAGCTCTGTTATACACTCAGACACATTACTGATTATTATTGCTGTGGGAGCTCTGTTATACACTCAGACACATTACTGGGAGTAGCTATTAATGTGGAGCTCTGTTATACACTTCCAGACACATTACTGGGAGTATTGTTACTGTGGAGCTCTCACATACTCAGACACATTACTGGGAATATTATTGCTGTGGAGCTATGTTATACACTCAGACACATTACTGGGAGTATTATTGCTGTGGAGCTCTGTTATACACTCAGACACATTACGGGGAGTATTGTTGCTGTGGAGCTCTGTTATACCCTGAGACACATTACTGGGAGTATTATTGCTGTGGAGCTCTGTTATACACTCAGACACATTACTGGGAGTATTGTTACTGTGGAGCGCTGTTATACACTTAGACACATTACTGGGAGTATTATTGCTGTGGAGCTCTGTTATACACTCAGACACATTACTGGGAGTATTGTTGCTGTGGAGCTCTGTTATACACTCAGACACATTACTGGGAGTATTATTGCTGGGGAGCTCTGTTATACACTCAGGCACATTACTGGGAGTATTATTGCTGGGGAGCTCTGTTATACACTCAGGCACATTACTGGGAGTATTATTGCTGTGGAGCTCCGTTATACACTTAGACACATTACTGGGAGTATTATTGCTGGGGAGCTCCGTTATACACTCAGGCACATTACTGGGAGTATTATTGCTGTGGAGCTCTGTTATACACTCAGACACATTACTGGGAGTATTATTGCTGTGGAGCTCTGTTATACACTCAGACACATTACTGGGAGTATTATTGCTGTGGAGCTCTGTTATACCCTCAGACACATTACTGGGAGTGTTATTGCTGTGGAACTCCGTTATACACTCAGACACATTACTGGGAGTGTTATTGCTGTGGAGCTCTGTTATACACTCAGACACATTACTGGGAGTATTATTGCTGTGGAGCTCCGTTATACACTCAGACACATTACTGGGAGTATTATTACCTTGAGCTCCGTTATACACTCAGACACATTACTGGGAGTATTATTGCTGTGGAGCTCTATTATAGACTCAGACACATTACTGGGAGTATTATTGCTGTGGAGCTCTGTTATACACTCAGACACATTACTGGGAGTATTATTGCTGCGGAGCTCTGTTATACACTCAGACACCTTACTGGGAGTATTATTGCTGTAGAGCTCTGTTATACACTCAGACACATTACTGGGAGTATTATTGCTGTGGAGCTCTGTTATACACTCAGACACATTACTGGGAGTATTATTACTGTGGAGCTCTGTTACTAGGAGTATTATTGCTGTGGAGCTCTGTTATACACTCAGACACATTACTGGGAGTATTATTGCTGCGGGGCTCCGTTATACACTCAGACACATTACTGGGAGTATTATTGCTGTGGGGCTCCGTTATACACTCAGACACATTACTGGGAGTATTATTGCTGTGGAGCTCTGTTATACACTCAGACACATTACTGGGAGTATTATTGCTGTGGAGCTCTGTTATACACTCAGATACATTACTGGGAGTATTATTGCTGTGGAGCTCTGTTATATACTCAGTCACATTACTGGGAGTATTATTTCTGTGGAGCTCTGTTATACACTCAGATACATTACTGGGAGTATTATTGCTGTGGAGCTCTGTTATACACTCAGTCACATTACTGGGAGTATTATTGCTGTGGAGCTCTGTTATACACTCAGATATATTACTGGGAGTATTTTTGCTGTGGAGCTCTGTTATACACTCAGACACATTACTGGGAGTATTATTGCTGTGGGGCTCTGTTATACACTCAGTCACATTACTGGGAGTATTATTACTGTGGAGCTCTGTTATACACTCAGACACATTACTGGGAGTATTATTGCTGTGGAGCTCTGTTATACACCCAGAAACATTACTGGGAGTATTATTGCTGTGGAGCTCTGTTATACACCCAGACACATTACTGGGAGTATTATTGCTGTGGAACTCTGTTATACACCCAGACACATTACTGGGAGTATTATTGCTGTGGAGCTCTGTTATACACTCAGACACATTACTGGGAGTATTATTGCTGTGGAGCTCTATTATACACTCAGACACATTACTGGGAGTATTATTGCTGTGGAGCTCTGTTATACACTCAGACACATTACTGGGAGTATTATTGCTGGGGAGCTCTGTTATACACTCAGACACATTACTGGAAGTATTATTGCTGCGAAGCTTTGTTATCCACACAGACACATTACTGGGAGTATTATTGCTGTGGAGCTCTGTTATACATGCAGACACATTACTGGGAGTATTACCAGCTCTGTTATACACTCAGACACATTACTGGGAGTATTATTGCCGTGGAGCTCTGTTATACGCTCAAACACATCACTGGGAGTATTATTGCTGTGGAGCTCTGTTAGTCTGTTGAGTATAACTATCTCAGTGTGAGCTATGGTATATTGTAAGAGTGTGGATTATCTCTGGGAATTGAATAACTATTATAATTTATTTATAAATTGCCAACGCATTCCGCAGTGCTTACATGGCTATTATTGTTACTAGTAAAAAGAACCAGCACAATACATCTGAGGGACAATAAACTTTGAACAAATAAACACAGGAAGAGTTGAGAGCCCAGTTCCCGAGGTCAACTTACAAACTGAACTAGATACATAAAGTTCTGTACGGACATCAATGTCAGGCCTGTTATTACGCTACAAGTGTTATTACTTTATGTCTTGCTATAGGATCCAGTTCTGTGAGTAGAAAGGGATCTAATAATAAACAATCCAGAGCTTTACGGTAACAAACAAACAATGGGAGCTTCCGTCGCTGTGTTCTGTACAGCTTTCTCGAGACACTAAACCTACGTTCTCCAAAATGGACCTAACTCACCTGTAACCCATCTTACTCTGAAGTTCTTCACATATCACGGTCAGATTGGCCTGTGGAGAGAAAAATACACATCTCTCCCAGTAAGCTCTCAGTGGGCTATTTATCATAAACTTCATTTACTGGCTATAAATGCAGTAATTTAAAACATTCAGTTAATGAAAAATAAAGGGAAATTCTACTGATTTGAAATAGGACCATCTTCCCTCCCCGATTAATTTTATTATATTTCATTTAATTGAAGGACACCATGAGGTTTATGTCTACAAATACATTACCCTCACACATTGAGAATAATTCCCCGATTCATACATTTCAGGTTTATTCTGTTTCAACTCCTGGGGTTTAATCTAGAATAATATAATTCCATTCCAGTCTAGTCAATCCCCTAATTGTACTAAATGAGGATTATATCCAGTGATATAATCAGTGAAACTCCCGATAAGTACAGGTTCTAAGTTTTCATTGTACATAAACAAGTGTTACTAAATAAAAGAATGATACCTGCAGGTACGGAGCTCAAGTCACTGTCTATTTGGCTTTCTGGGGGTCTCCCCCTTGAACAATACAGTGAGCGGTTTGTATGTCAGTGTGCGCCGATCACATTGTGTTTGGATGCATGACCAAGCCCTACTGGGCTAAACGTTGCTGTGATTTTATGGGAATTACGCCTTAATAAAGGTTATTGTTTTACTACCGGTACTCTGTACTGTACACATTTACAGTTGTAATCAAAATTATTCAACCCCCTTTGAAAATCAGGTTTATTGTCAAAATGTACAGACTTTCAGCTGTTTGCGAAGAAACAAATCAAACTAAAGTAATTGAAATAGCTCAACGGGAGCTTCAAGAGGTTTCCCCAAATTCAACTGAAAATGCTACTTATAATGACTTCTCCAGCCTATTGTACTCAGGGCCGGCGCTACCTGTTAGGCGGACTAGGCAGCCGCCTAGGGCGCCCCTTGGGAAGGGGTGCCGCCAGGAGCGCCGCCCCCCCCATGCTGCAGCCGCCCGAGCGCTCTGTAGAGAGCCTCAGGCGGCTGCAGCTTTGCCCGGGCGGTGCGTCCATGAGGGCGCAGCATGAGGAGAGGGGCTGACAGGAGGGAAGCGCTCAGCGCTCAGCGCTCCCTCCTGTCACTCCCTCACTGTAGCGTGGCCGAGCTCTGTATGGTCCGCGGGTACAGGACACAAAAGCTCCCTGTACCCGCGGACCATACAGAGCTCGGCCACGCTACAACAGAGGTAGGGGATAAAGAAATTGGAAGGGGGGGGAGAAGGAAATTGGAGAGAGGGGGAGAAGGAAATTGGAGAGGGGGAGAAGGAAATTGGAGGGAGAAGGAAGGAGGGGAGAAAAGGAAACAGAGGGGGGGGAGAAGGAAATTGAGAGGGGGGAGAAGAAGGAATCTGGAGGAGAAGGAAACTGAGAGGGAAGAAGGAAACCAGAAAGAGGCGGAAGGAATTTTGAGGGGAAGAAGGAAAATTGGAGGGGAGGAGAAGAAGGAAATTGGAGAGGGGGAGAAGGAAATTGGAGGGGAGAAAAGAATGGATGGAGGGAGAAGGAAATTGAGGGGAGAAGGAGACTGGAGAGGAAATTGAGGGAGAAGGAAATTGAGAGGGGAGAAGGAAACTGGAGGGGAAGAATCGAGGGGAGGAGAAGGAAATGAGGGGGAGAAGAAGGAAATTGGAGGGAGAGGGGGGAGAAGGAAATTGGAGAGAGGGATGGAGGGGGAGAAGAAGGAAATTGGAGGGAGAGGGAGGGAGAAGGAAATTGATGTGGGGGAGGGGGAGAGATTGACATCCATCACACACACACAAGGCACCCCTTGCACACAGAAAAACACACAATGCATTACACACAGACACACATACACAAGCAATGCATCCCTAACACACAGCAACACACAATGCACCCCTTACACACACTCAATGCATCCCCACAGACGACACACTGCATCCCATACATACACAAACACACCTCGCAGCCCTTACACATACAAACACAGATTCACACAATGCATTCCTTACACACATCAGGACATTCCCTACACACTCCACCCCCTGTGAACAAACTCATTGGTGGAACATGAAGGTGGACCCTGGGACCCAGACCTTGAGCTGTGTAAAGGGCCCCCCAAAAATGGAGCTGCTTCCCGTTCTCCCAGAACATTGATTTTTGTGACCATAGTTACAAACCGCCCCCAGAGAGCCTGTTCTACACCAGACCAGTGGAGCCAGACTGCAGCTGGAGCCCATCATCATCCTCATCTGGTTGTAAGTAGGCAATCTAGTATATTATTCGTGGCACTAAGCTCTAATTTACCTCACATTAAAGAAACACTATAGTCCCCAGAACCACTTCAGCTTAATGTAGTGGTTCTGGTGTCCATAGCCTGTCCCTGCAGGCCTTTTACTGTAAACACAGCGGCACTGCAGCTCTGGCGTTAGATAACACGGCAGATCATATGGGTGGGGCATTGTGATATCACATGGGGGGGGGGGCGGCAAACTTTACTTTTGCCTAGGGCGGCAAAAATCCTTGCACCAGCCCTGATTGTACTGACCCAGCAGTGAAAGGATGGAGGTTTGATTTGGAGGCCTTTTTCAGGTGTTGAGTGTGAGCTTGGTATGCAAGAGCCCTGGGGGTACTTGGAGGAGTCAGTTATCAAATATGATAGAATGGCTGTTGGAGCTTGTTGCTGGAGCTGGTTATCTGATTGATTGATTGATTGTCTGATTGATTGATTCATTGGTTGATTGAATGACTGATTATTTGATTTGGCACTTATAATATTGCGACAGATGAGACATCCCCCAGATTAGTAAAAAACATTGAAATTCTTACCGCAGAGTGATCCAAGGTGAGCTGCACCTGGCACCACGTATTTAACGGGATGGACACTAA